TTTTTCTTGCACTGAGTTAGGTGCCAACAGTAGAAATAATACTGCGTGATTTCCTTTGGTGTAGCTATGCTTTATGTGACCTTTGGAAGTTCTGTAAACAAACAAGATAAATTAAATAAGCATGTAAGACTGAGTAACCCATATGGCTGTACTGTGTTTTCACCATTCCTTTTTCCAGGCTCACTCACATTCCTAAAACACCCTGAAGACCCCTTGTTTCTCCTTGCTTCAACTCACTTACAGGCCCTTTTCACCATGGACATTGTCATTCCCGCTGACAGCTACTAGATGGGGTTCAGAAGCAAATTCCTAACAGAATAAACTCTTACAAAGTTTGGACTAGAGACTTCAAGCCTGCTTCATCATTGAACAGAGTCATACTTGAACAGGGAGCCTATAGCTGAACGAGCCACAAGAAATGTGTTGGTCTTCACAAAAATGAAATGATTGTATGAAAGATCTCCGCTTCTCCTTTGCCTTTATAAGTCCTTTTTTATAGACATTATTTGCCTTTGTTTTCCCAGCAGTGATCTTCTCAGAAGTGTTTCTGTTTTGACATGTTGCAGTTGTCTTGCTCCTTTATGTATATTTTTGGGCATCATCTTTGCTGTCTGCCTATATTCATATATAGAATTCCTGATACCCTGAATTATCACATCTAGTAGAATGTACATCTGCATCTTTTAAAAGCTCTGTTTTTTAAAACTCACTGTTTTCTCTTTGGACTCCCACTCTGCTGGCAGTATCGCATACTACCACTTAACATATAGAAATAAGCTATTCTATATAAAATAAGGAGCTTTTTGGGGGGGCGGAGGGTAAAATAATGTGGTGGTGATTAGTAGAAAAGCACAGAGCCAATTTAAAAAGAAGCCTAGGTTCATACACTGACCATGGCGTGGTGGGTTTACCTTGGCCAGCAGCCAGACACCCACCTAGCCGCTCTCTCACTTCCCATCCTCAACAGGACAGGGGAGAAAATACGATGGCAAGGCTCAGCTGCCGAGATAACGCTAGGGGGACTGCTCACCAGTTACCGTCATGGGCAAAGCAGGCTTGGCTTGCGGAAAATAAATTTAATTTGCTGCCAATGAAAATAGATTTGTGTAGCGAGAAACAAAGACAAATTAAAACAATATGTTCCCCCCATCCTCTCCCTTTTCTTCCCTGAGTCATCTGCCTCCCACCCCACCCGGAGCAGCGCGGGGGGACGGGGATGGGGGGGTTGCAGTCAGTTCACAGCAGCCCCTCTCTGCGGCTCCTTCCTCCTCACACTTTTCCCCTCCTCCAGTGTGGGTCCTGCCCATGGTCCGCAATGCAGAATCTTTACTTATTTGTATGTTTATGTGGTTTTTTTGCTTTGGGCTTTATAATTTATTTAAAAAAAACACCCAACCTGAAATTGAACAGTGGATAAAATATCAAATTAAGCTGTTTAACATCTGGAAGTTGTGTTACTGTCAGCAAAACAGTAACAATTTGAACATTGTTGCCTTTTTCTACCTGTTTTGAACTATAACAGCATTAGTGCATTAGATTTTCTGCCTCGTTTGGCTTTGCTTTGTTCCTTTAATATTTCTTGCAAATTAAAAAAGGAAATGTAGCCAAAAAATTCTCTAAAGGTCAGTCATCTCATTTTAAAATTAAACTAAATATTTACCCTAGATATGTTTTACATGTGAATATTTACATAGAGCTTGTTATTCTCTTTTTTTAAAAAAAAAAAAATCAAATCAGAAATTGATTTGGTTCCTTTCATTACAGTTTTTTCACCAAAAATTATATTAGGAATGGTGTTTGCTTTTCTGAGTGAGAATTAAATTGACCTATTAGCATTACATCATTGTACAGATACTTCCAGGAGGTGATGTTTCTTGATGAGACTGGCGAACACAACCATCCTAGCACCGCCTTATTCCCTTACTGCAAATAAGACTTATTCCAAAAAGGGTAAGTCTTATTCCAAACAAAAAATAAACATTAATTCCATGAAACGTTCACCGTCATCGCTGCAGCAGGTGGAAATAAGTGATCTGGTGGGTTTGTCTCAGTTTAAGAGCTGAGTCCTGTGGCACACACAGGGTGATGTGCTCAGACCAGCCCCAAAATAGCTGGCTGGGGCTGCAAAAGCCAGGCTGCCACCGAGTGCTGGGGAAAAAAGAAAGCTGCGTTGGTGCTCGGAGACAGCGCTGCCTTGTACTGCTGGGTGGGATGCTGCTGGGTGTGCCTCTCAGTGCAGAGGTCCAAGGGCTGGAGCACCTCTCCTATGAGGACAGGCTGAGGGAGTTGGGCTTGTTCAGCCTGGAGAAGAGAAGGCTGCGGGCAGACCTGATTGCGGCCTTTCAGTACCTAAAGGGGGCCTATAGGAAAGATGGGGAAAATCTTTTTAGTAGGGCCAGCTGTGACAGGACAAGGGGTAATGGTTTTAAACTAAACCAGGGTAGGTTTAGACTGGATATAAGGAAGAAATTCTTCACAATGAGGGTGGTGAAACACTGGAAGGGGTTGCCCAGAGAGGCAGTGGAGGCCCCATCCCTGGAAGCATTCAAGGCCAGGTTGGACGGGGCTCTGGACAACCTGATCTAGTTAGCAGTGTCCCTGCTCCCTGCAGGGGGGTTGGACTAGCTGACCTCTAGGGGTCCCTTCCAACCCAAAGCATTCTATGATTCTGTGATAAACTACCCAAATTACTTGGGGATATAGCTGCACAGGCTGCACTGACAAGTGAATCTCTGTCTCAAACAAGCACTTCGGCTTCAAAAGAGGCGTTCCTTATAATCATCCGTCAAACCGCTCACATTTCTCTGCGAAACTCTCTTTCCTTGGCTCCTGGAACAGAACTGATGAAAAGTTGGGTGTTGTCTGATTAATGTTTTTACCATTTGCTTCTGCCCTTCCTGCCTGTCTGCATCTGTGGCTCTCTCTTGCATTATCTATCCCCAGATTATAAAATCTTCGGATGATGCATCATCTCTTTGCCTGGTAGGGCTTCCCCCTCCACCTTCTCAGCTCCTGCAGCTCCCTTTTGATTCATTTCCTCCCTTTGCTAGGAAAGTCCTCCAGTGTCATTGCTTTGAGAGCTGGCCTTTTGCAGCATTTTGTTTTTAAATTGTACCACTTAGTAACTAACCTCAAATGAGAGCGAGGGAAGTCTGTTACATGGTAATGCGTAGTGAATTGTGGTATGAACAAAGAATACATGTAAGCCGTACGCTTGCATAAACCAGTCCTCCTTTGGGTCAGTTCTGTGCAGAGCATTCCTCTTGTGAAATTGCTTTGAGTAAATCAAGAAACTAAGCTTTTGATTTGTGAAATTAAGTGAGAGACAGGAGTATAACTGCTTGGTGGACAAAACCAAAGGCAAAATTAGGAATAACTGTAGTTTGGCAATAAAACGATTGACTGATTTATTTTTTTCTTAAAAAAAAAAAATCAAATATGAACCATTTGTGTGGTGCCAAAACTGAGGTTGTGTTATAACTCTGATACAGATTCATATAAAATTAGCAAAAACTCTCTCATACCACACATCTTTAAATAGCCTTGCCTTTACATGTGCATACATTCCTTACTGTTCCTCAGAGGATTTACTTATCAATGGGGCCTTTGCTAAGGCAAGAGAATTGGATTATAGATTATGCTAAAGACATTCTCCTATTACTATCGCTTCACTTGCGATAGCTCTCAGTAGGAATTTCAATTCTGTGTCTATTTTTTTAGAAACATTTTCAGGTAAAAGTTTGGAAAAGTAGCCACTTCGTAATTCTGACTATCCAGATCATTCGGGATGACCTAAGGAGAAAAACTATTTGAAAATTAAACTTCATGGTGAGCCTTTTCCATTTGTGGTTTCCCTTCTCTCTGGAGAGAAAGGGTGCACAAAGATAGTTTCTGTGGCGTTAGGAAGCAGATGATAGCATACAAAGCCCTGTGTTTATATGCACTGTGGTGTTTTGATTTTTAATCAATGGTGGTTTTTGAAAACTTCAAAGCAGGTTAGTAGAGGGATGAGCTCAAATAGTGGGGTGGGGGATGCTATCTGTTTATCTGAGATTTTCTTAGTTGGTCTTCAAATGAGTAAAAAATAAAGAAAACATTATGTAATCAAAGCTTCTCAATCAACTAATGACATCAAGCGGTAATCTTTTCTTGCTCACCATGTATCCTTTGGACTATAAACTATTTAATACTGCTAGAAATTACCTCATCCATCATAGCAGCATAGCCCTTTTCTGTGTTTCACTGCATGGTGGGTTTATCAGTGCTGGGCACGGGAAGGAGGTGAAGAATAATATCCTTTTTAATTGAATTTTCAGACTGGAATGTGGAGAGGAGGAACGGCCCGTGCTGGTGCCCGGCCAGTGCCCTGGGTCATCACCCTCCTGCTAATGAAAAATGCTTTAATGACTGCACTGGCCAAGTGCCAGGATGTGAAATACACGTGTTCGGTTTCGTACTCGGGTCTAACGCGGATTTTTAGTTACAGCAGTAACTTAACGTAGGGACACAACCTGCACGTGGTCTTGCTCTGCGCTGCCTTGGCTGCTGCGTGTGAGAAAGATGAGCGCTTGAGTGCGCTGGGGGGTGAGAGTGGGGGTCAGGCGTTATCACGGAGAAATAAAAGCAATTCTTACCTGGTGGTGATTTGTTCATATGACCTTGCAGTTAGAAAGAATAATTTTGCCTTCTGATGTTGTTTCCAGCAGCATGTCACTTTTTTCTGCTGTTTCCAGTAGAAGTAATGATGCTACTTAGGATATCCAGACATGACCTGATATGCACATGGATAATTAGAGCAGGTTTAATTTTACATTCATGTTTTGTAAAGAATAGTGTGGCATCGCTTTTCTAAAAGGAAAGCTGATAATTGTCAAATACCTAAAAATTAGCAGTGGATTTGCAGTTAGCAAATCCTTATAGTAGCAATGTTTTATTTTTTTTTTTTCTTGTTGCTTGTGCTAATCTAGAACATGAGTGTCACCAATTTGTTTTTTCCTCAGAATATGGCGGCATGGGCTTGGACTTCTCCTATAACATTGCAGTGGCAGAAGAGCTGGGAAATATCCGCTGTGGAGGTATTCCTATGGCTATTGGAGTGCAAGCTGGCATGGCTACTCCTGCTCTTTCAAGGTAATTTTCAGAAAGTTTGGTTGTCGAATGTTTAGGCCTAAAATCCAATCTGTGTAAGAGTGGAAAAAAACACAACTGTGCAGATTTACTGTCTAGTTGCTCTTCAGTAACGCTCGAGGAAGGAACCTATTCTCTACCTCTCACACAGTTTGGTTTAGGGGAGAAAATACTTTTTTTTTTTTTTTTAAATGTTAGAATATTATATATTAAAACATAGGCCTTGTTTAATAGTAGATTATATGTTTACAAACACAGAACCTTGATGCCACAACCAATAAACCAATTTTAATTCCAGGCTCCCTCTATTTATGTTTGTGCTTTTTCTTAGCCAGATGTCCCAGTGCAGTCGTGCTAAGGATGTATTTAGTTTTAATGTTTAGGATCAGTCTAATTCTATTTTATAACGGTTTGGACTTGATGATCTTTAAGGTCTTTTCCAACCGATTCAATTTACCTTTTTCCAGCTTTGCAAGGTGCTCCTCGCTGATCTTGACTTTTCAGAAGTAATGATCAATACTGGTCATAAAGTCCTAAAGTTGAAGCACATGTATCATGCTTCCTAAATACGCCCATTGAAGGCAATTACTCCTTTTGCTTTTTCTCATCTGCTCATGTCAGTGTTCCCCTTCTATTGCTTGCTGTCATTCAGGCTCCTGCACTTTCTGAAGCTGTTTTGCCTTTTCTCCCTCAATAAAAGCGGCAGTTACCAACAACTTCTTCACGTGGTATTCACAGACATCCTGCATCCAAACAGCAGCTTGCAAACCCAGAGGGAGGCAACGGGCACTTTGCCCCTGGAATACAGATACGCCTAAAATTCTGGAAGGTAGTGGTGGGGATTAAGTTCAAATAATGATGATGAAGTCAGGAATTTCTCTGCAGAAAATAGATATACAAGAAGGGAATTTTTGCACAGAAGAACATTTTAGGGTTGGGTTATTTGTTGATTTCCCACCCCCACCCCCCATTCTGAAAGAAAATACCTGTAAATCCACTGTACAGTCTGAAATGTATGTTCTGTCCCCTTGACATCCATTCATCTTTCTGCTAGATATGTGAGACTTCAAAGGTCTCAGCCATGGGAAATCTTCCTAAAACTTTTCTTCTCCGTTGCATAAAACACCAAAGGCTTGCTGAAGGCCTGGAGTTCAGTCTGTTTGTGCAACAATAGCTTAGTTATTGTCCAACTGAGAATAAAACTAGTATTTTAACAGACTTCAGAGAATAGTACATAGCCCCCATGACAGCCTTTTATTCCCAGGGGTTTAAAAAAAATCTATGGGTAAAAGAAGGTGGGATTTTGTTCCATTGCAGTTTTTTGGCCTTCTGCTACTCTGTTCTGCTGTAGTAAAGCAATGAAGCTGCATACGTTTGTGCTAGGGAAATCCTAAAGTGGATGTTCTTGGAAAGCAGACGTGAAAATGTCATTAATATGATGAAATCCGTAATTGAATTTGCATCTGTATTAGTGAACTTCTCCTCCACTGTTAAGTCAATTCCACTGGCTAGTTATATGGTACGCTGTCCCGCTCTTAAGATGTAAAAATGAAACTTGGTAATTGAAAGAGAAAGCTTGATACAGGAAATTTTGCGCGGGTGCAGCTTTGCTTTATGCAGTGTAATGAGAGGGCTAATGGCTCGTCCTGGGTCATGGATTCAAATTGCATTCGCAACCTGGTGGTTTCTTTAAAGGTGTCTGTGTACTGTGGGGATCCTGAACAAGTTCAAAGAGGTAACCCAAATTTTGCATCTTAACTATGCGTTGTTACATGTTGTGCATCACTGATGCACAAAGTAAACAGTAATATGGGAATCAACCATCACCCCCTGAAAAACTTTTAAAAAGAAGTCTGGAGCCCTTTGTTGGCTTTCCTAACTTTGGGCTTTATTCAGCATTCATCAAGCGTGTATTGAGTGGACCTGCGAACCAACCCACTGAATGCGATAGGTCATGAAGATGCTCTGCCACTATAAATTAAGAGATGTTCCTTCAATTAGATAAATAGACAGTGCAGTAGTTTGAACAGATGGATACACGTACGTACACATGCGCACACACAGCTTTTAAGATTTTCATACTTTGGAAAAATGAAGTCTTAAAAGACCTAGAGTCAGGATGCCTCCTGATGCTGTTTCTGCAACTTCCGTGGGTTTCTTGCTTCAGTGACAAGCTGTTGCAAGGCTTAGCTTGTGAAAGTCTTTGAGATATTCAGTTAAATGGGAAGTATATTGTAGTAACAGTTTTAATTCTATAAATAATACATTTTTGAAATGTTACCTGTATCTGTTTGCCTGTTCACTCTTCCTACCCTTTTTTTACTTTATTCTTTGCCATTTTTTGGACAACCTTCAGAAAGTTATATTCATGGTCATACTTGGAAGCAACACTGCAGATTTTGATTTATATGCATCTCTGTTGTGCAGACAAATAAAGACAAAAATAGTTTTGTTTCACTTGAAGATGCCCACACTGCTCCATTTTTTTTTCCCCATATTCCTCTAAGCGAAGCAGTAGCACTTTCTAAATTTGAGAACTAAACACGAAATGTTTTGTCAGCAGTGATCTGGCCTTTGATGTACCTGGTTCTGAACATAACTCTCTGTCAGGTCTTTCAAATGCATTCAGCTGTAATACTTCACTTGCTTTCTTGCTTGGAAGTAGAGCGGAGAAAACAGCTCTCCACTGAGGCAGTGAATGAGATACGTTTCCCTGGAGCTTGTAACAAACCTATAGGGGACACATCCATAGGGATACCAGATCAGTATAGCGCTCCTTTATCTCGGCAGTAAGCAGTAAACTTTCCTTTTCTTTTTTTTCCCCTCTGTTATTTATAGGAAAACAGTAAGGATAATGATGTTTATTGAGTGGGACGAGAGTTGCTTTTCTATTTCATCAGCTTACTTGTCACTGATTCTTTCTCCACCCTGCCTGAGCAGGAGCATACTTGTCAATTAATGTCCAAAGAGTTAGTTTTACTGTCTCCTCCTGTTTGCTGTAAAGGAGAGAAGCTCCAGCTGACAATCAGAACAGCAGTTTTGAGAAGTGGATCATCCCCTTGATCAGCTGGGAAAAAAGGGTGAAAATGGGAAGAGGCCATTCAAGAGCTGAGTGGATTTCCCACTTGGCACAGCGTAAGGGAAGCTTGATTTTTTTTTTTTTTTAACAGAGTTGTCTCATTCTCACATTTGGTATTTAATTTGTACAGTGTGCATAAGATAGGCCAGGTCTTGCCCTGAGCCGCAGCAGAGACTGTTACAGGTGCAGCTTTCAAAATACCATTAAAAAAGGTATCATTAAGCATTGCTGTCATGAGGGCTAGTTAAGTTGCAGCTGTAGCCAGTTGTGCGGCTTTGTGGGTTCGAATACCTGTGAGGGTCTAACCTGGCCAGAGCAATGCGGTGGGGTGATATGAAGTCAAGCAGGTGCTTCTGAACTCACTTTCTTCAGGACAGCTTTACGCTCCTCTTGTACCTTTGAGGTTGCTCCAGCTCCTGGTGGCAGCCCAGCCATGCTACGGTTGCAGGTTGTCTGGTGGGCAGCCTTGATGTCACCAGAGCTGGTGTGGTAGCAGCAGGACACCAGCCACACTGCACGATCTGAAGAGCGTAATCTTTAATATGACTCCTTGTTGTGGCTTAACCCCAGCCAGCAAGTAAGCACCGCACAGCCACTTGCTCACTCCCCCCTCCTGGTGGGATGGGGGAGAGAAATGGAAGAGAAAACCCATGGGTTGAAATAAGCATGGTTTAATAATGGAAATAAAATGAAGTAAAATAGCAGTAGTAATAATAATACTATTAGTAATAATTATGTACAAAGCAAGTGATGCACAGTGCAGTTGCTCACCACCTGCTGACTGATGCCCAGCCCGTCCCCGAGCAGTGATAGCAGTCGTCATTGTTCCCCCCCAACTCCCTCCCTGGCAGACTCCCCCCAGGCACGGTGTCCTGTAGTCTGGAATAGCCCTGTGGCCAGTTGGGGTCAGCTGTCCTGGCTGTGCCCCCTCCCAGCTTCTTGTGCACCTGGCTTTACAGGCTGCCCAGGGAGGTTGTGGAGTCTCCTTCTCTGGAGGTATTCAAAGCCCGCCTGGATGAAGTCCTGTGTAGAATGCTCTAGGAGAGCCTGCTCTAGCAGGGGGGTTGGACTAGATGATCTCCCGAGGTCCCTTCCAACCCTTGCGATTCTGTGATTCTGTGATTCTGGCAGAGCAGGAGAAGCTGAAAAGTCCTTGACAGATGTAAGCACGACTTAGCAACAACTAAACCATCAGTGTGGTGTCAACATTCTTCTAGTATTAAATGCAAACTGCAGCACTATGTCAGCCACTAGGAAGAAAATTAACTCTGTCCCAGCCGAAACCAGGACACTCCTCTTTTACACTACCTGCATTTTAATGCAAAATACATTCCTGAATAGACAGAAGATTGACATAATCATTCTTAACCAAAACCCTTCAGGTAGCCTCATCTGCATGAGGTAGTCATACCCGTCAGGTAGTCTCACACAGGCTTCTCATCTGTATTCTTTTCAGAATGTATCAGTAGCTCGAACTAAGCAAGTTATTTCATAAAATCTTCAAATAACTGAAGCTTAAAGGCTTGATAAAAACTGGGAGCCAGAGCACTTTTCTTATTGCTTTTTTTCTTACTCCATCTTTCACAAAAAGTAAGTAAGTTTTCTAAATGCAGATTTTTTAAACTCGTGTGTCTTCTTATCTTGACTGAAATAGGGACTCGAGGAGAGAAAGCCAATTGCAGTGTGGATTCTTTTAAATCCAGGTTACGTAAATTACTGAACTTAATGAGGCTTCCACACTGCCCAAGGGTACTTGCTGCGGTTCACCACTGCATTTCTAATCCTTTCTGTGCCTGCAAAGAGCATCTCTTCCTGTTTGTTTTTTTCTTGCTTCTTTTCCTGTATCTTGAAGATCCAAGGAGTACTGCTGGACCTGGACATCAGATGGTAGGATGCCTGTGCAGGACTACACTGAAGCAAAAGACCGTCACATGGCTACTGCATTATTAATAGTTTGAGTCTAGGAGCAGAACAGAAACAGAATTGGGACAAATTCACCTCTTGCTAGTATGTAAGAAGCAAAGTGACAGTAGGTCAGAGTTACTTTCTTCTTTGCCTAAAGGAAATCATCTTTATATTCCTAGGAAGTCCACAAGTAAACTATTGTATCATCTTTGAGATGCTGTAGAATAATGCATAGATCATCTGAAAACTTCTTTTGTTGTTGTTTTATTTTTGCTTTGGTGGTGGATAGTGCTCGAATGTATGAACTCCAGTGCAAGAAAGCTTGAGTTGATCAGATGCTGAGAGCTGTGCTAAAACTGCCTGCTGCTGTTCATATTCAGAATTCCAGTTTGCACTTAATAGTGTACCATGCTAGTGTGTCTGTCAGTTCTGCTCAGAACTTTCCTTACTAATTTAATTAATGCACTTCAGCTCAGGTTTTTTTTCCCCAAAAGCAGAAGAAACAAAAGTGAGTAAGATCTGAGGTTCTACCGAGATGATTATCAGCCCAATTAAGTCAGAACAGTGATGTGCTATAGACATGTTTTCATTCAATGTAGCAATCCAACCTGTCAGAAACCAGATTTTTATATATATTTGAGATGGATAAAGGTGACTTCAAACTTCTGATTGGCAGAGCACATAAACAGAACTATGTGGATCAAGGAATTGTTCTTACATCTGTGTTTTGCCATGGGTTTATTTTCCTTTTACCCACCATTTACAAGATTGTATACCGTTGTCTTTTTTGTGTCGGAATTCATAACGTTCCACCAATGTTACTTATAAAGTGTGGAGCAAGAAAGGATGGACCACTTTCACATAACTCTTAATGTGTCAGAATCTCACACTTGGGACTTTTGGGTTACCTGGCATCAACAAGGAGCCCCGGTTTATTGACTGTAGACTCGTGTGTGTGTGTTTGTGTATACTACACACATGCATGACAATATATTTTAGAGTGATGCTAAGGCTGCACAGTTAATCACATGAGAAACTATGCTCTGGGTTATGGCCCCAACCCAGAGAGCAGACATAGTCAGGTCTATCTTGAGCCAGAGCATGATCCCATTGCAAACAGAGATTTCTAATTCTGGAGCTGTTAAACTGGACAGAACTGGGTATTGAAATTATTCAAACCTGAGATTTTTATGAGCTGCATTTAAGATGGGTAGAATTTTACAAAAACTACATATTTCTAACACAATAGCTAGTTGCTTGCTGACCTGCACGTCCTTCCTGCAAGGCGTAGAGGTTCATGATCTTCTAAAGATGGTGTTGCCAGACTTTTTTTTTTTTAATTGCAAAATAACTTCTTCTGTAGGCTCATTTTTGGGAAGAGCTGAAGTGTTTTCTGGAATTGAAGCCAAACAAAAAAAGATATCAAACGAAAAACATTATTCTGAGAAAAGTTCTTGCCATAGAAATCCTCTGTTGAAATAACTAAAGGTTGGCAAAGTTTTAAGCGTCAGAAAGAATTGCCAAAAATCCCCGCTAGCTCCTCTCAATCTGATTTTTCATGTTGTGGGTTGGGGTTTTTCTGTGTAATGAATGTTCAGCTGGCCATACTTGACCATGTCTCAAGGAAAAAAAATAAAAGTACACTGCATAACAGACATGGGGACTTTGTCCCAGTATGCTGGAGGAAGGAGTAAACACTCCAAGCTCGCTCCTTGTGTTTATTTGGGATGGCTGCCGTGATTATCAGCAGGGGCAGAACTAGGAGCTGAGCTCCCTGTGTGCACAAAGCAAAAGTGGCTGCCAGCTCCCAGTCTGTTCCCTGGCCATTCCACGTCCTTTGACTGTTTTGTGACAGGGTTGGAGTGGAACAGAAGGGTCAGAGTCTTAGCTAAAATGGCATCACTCCTTTTGAAGTCCTGGGACAGTGTTTTAGAAGGAGAGCCAGGTATCTGCAGCCTGCTTAGGCAGCCAGCGAGTCTAAGGAGATGAGTGGAGATGCTGACCTGACAAGCCTTGTGCCAAAGAGGAGGCTGAGGAGGAACTTGACTTCTGTGGATTTCTGCTCACAGAAGAGACATCTCATGATCCAAGGAATCTTTCCATCTAGCACAGGAGAGGTTCAAGAACTAGACCATGAGCTCACCGTTCATGCTGCAAGACCAAATTGGTGAATGTTCACTAGGACAAAATCAACCGTGAAATGAGATGCACCATGTTCTGAATCAATGAAAGCAGCTAAACATTGGGAAAAAAGAGGGTGCCTCTTAACTGAATTGAAATATGGTCAAGTGATTTTTTTTTTTTTTTTTGGTCATCAACAGTTTGCTGTTTCCCTTTTTGATTTTTCTGAGGACTAAAAGATCAGCTTGGAAGAAGCACTAATAGCTTTTGCTGTGCAATTTAAATGCAGATGTGAAATATTATTAATATAAATCCAGATATTTGCAGAGAGTGGCCATCACATGTCATAACTTTTCAGTCATTGCTAAAACCTGGCAAAGAGCTGGTGCAAAAGTCAGAAGATAGGCAGAGAGCAGCTCCTCCATCTCAGCTGACTGCAGACTGGTGCAGGAGCATTGAGAGCGAAACCCCAGGGACTCTGTTTATTTAGGTCTGGTAGCTCTCAAAACAACAATCATAAAGGTCAGATTTTGGACATCTAGACCACACATTTCTGTGGGACAAAGATACTTGAATCCTTGTAAAAACCTTGTTTAAAATGATTGTGGCTGCACTTTTGGTGAAGGCTCTGAATCATAGATTTGGACGGTGTCATTTCTGTCTTTTGGCTCTGGAACAGATTTTACCTGAGGTAGGGAAATTGGTCACTGTGTGGGTAGAACAAAATTTGTCACTAGCTTGTAGATAAAGCTAACCTTCAAAAGGTTTTAATATCCTATCTTTTTCATTATATCGTTGCAGGTTTGGTTCTGATGAGTTGAAAAAACAGTTCCTCGTACCAACTATAGCTGGGGATTTTGTGGTTTGCTTGGGAATCAGTGAAGCTGGAGCTGGGTCAGATGTTGCAAGTAAGTTAACCTAGCAAATTGCCAATTTTAGACCACCCGGTATTTTAATGGAAAGAATCTGGTTTCCTTGACCCTTCCCTTTGCCACTATCGTTTGTAAGAAATACAAAGGAAGGGAAGTCTGGTGTGGCGAGGGCAAAAAGTAAAATTCTAGGAGCAGTAAGGCATGCCTCCAGAGCGCACCGGCACCTCCTGCGGCGCTCAGCTGCCGTCTACTGTGCGAACCTGAGGACCTCCGAGATGGGGCACGTGGCCTGTTCAGCTGTACTAAACCCTCCACTTTCTTAAACCAGACGTCTCCGCTGGACGCGGGGGAATTGCAGAGCTGCAGCCCATTCTGAAGCTGATGGCCTCACTTTCACAATGGGTTCCTCTCACTCATTCTTACCTCACCTCAGCCACTTCCATCGTTCTTGTGCACCAAAAGTCTCTCTGAACTGGCGATTGTTTTATTTAGAGCTAATGAAGAATTGGCCACGTCAAATCTATTAGCTTTGTGATTTAGTTACTTTGCATGCAGCTGTTTTTCTTGGTTTAGTGCGAGAGTATGTTTGAAAACATGGATAAATCTAACTATTCTTCTGAAGTGCCTGAGGCAGTAGATAAGTTGAACAATTATATTAAAACAGATACTGTAGAAAAAGCAAAGGATCTCTCATCTGACTGTGAATCGTGGACTTTGAGGAAAAGGGAATGACAAGAAGCCACTTCTAGAGGTTTTGTTGTTGCACACAGGATGGCTAAGTTGAACACATTGTGCTCTTGCAAATTACTGAGACGTCTTCCTGCAGACAAAAATTGCTGAGTCTGACAGAGGCTTTTTGATCAGCAGTGTCCTATATCGAACACATTGTGCTCTTGCAAATTACTGAGACAACGTCTTCCTGCAGACAAAAATTGCTGAGTTTGACAGAGGCTTTTTGATCAGCAGTGTCCTATATCCGTTTCCTTGATTAAACTCACGTTGTTTTCTCATGGCAAATAGATAATTACTCAGTGTTAGAGCAAGGGTGCAGCAGGTAGTTTTCAAGAGAGTTAATGAAATAATGGGACTAACTCTTTCTGCATGATCTATCACTGTTTTCCTTTCTAGTTAATTAATTTTGTTTATAAGAAAAATTCCATAATTTTTATAGACTTTTCATTAAAATAGTTTTAAATTTGAATTTTGCTGATGTAGGAAATGCAACATCATTTATTTTAATTAATGCTTCTCTAGTTTAATTAGATGATTATCAGAACTTTCTAAATATGATTTCAATTTTTTGATACAGTGTTCCAGATAATAAGTAACAAATATTCCCTTAGCTGCATATTGTTTATCATCGAGTTTAATTGGTATGATACACTTGGATTAATACAGTTAAAGAGAAATTTGGAATCAACTAGGATTATCTGATGAATCCAGACTGCAGCTGGAAGGCAGACTGCAGGATGAGATGATGATACTTTTACACTCGTCATGGAAGATCTGATCCCTGGTATAAATCCAGAAACCAGCTTACAATGCTTCTAAAGGGTAATTACACGGACAATTTAGGCATGAGGAGCACTAGCTTACGTTCTGAGTAGCACTGGTTTGCACAAGGCAGAGGGAACGCATCATCTCCAGGTGGCCCAGCTTCAAAGTAGACAGAACTGCATGGAACTGCATGAAACTCCACCTTTGGTTTCTCATGCTATTGGGATGTTTGTCTCCCTTAAATAAGTGAAGCATAGCAACTGTTCATATGTGAAGGTTGGGGATGTGCTTCTGCCATGTGAGCTGGTATATTTTAAACTGAAGAATGACATAGAGTAAGGTATCTCGAGCATTTTCTTCTGCCAGTTCCAAAATCACTGAAGGTGATGCAAACACAGAAGGAAAAAAGTGTTTCTCTACATAAGAAGTGAAAGGTGCCTGGAATTAATTTATTCGGAATTCAGCAGAACAAAAAGGACTGTGTATATTAGTCTAATATAAATTTCAAGTCAATTTGAAAGAGCACCTGTCTGCTTTCATATGTAGTTGTTGTATATTGTATTGATGATGTACTAGCACACAAAAAAAAGTATTGACCAAAGCTAGCACAGAGATGACTTGAGAAGCAGAACAGTACAGAACAGCTGGTATAGGAAGTGTCCGTCTTTAATTTCAGGATTCTTGGTACCACAAAGCATACGTGTTTGTGCTGATTTTAATTATTTTGTCTCACTTTATCTCACTACTATTCCACAACTTGTATCATGTTTTGCTGATAGTCTGGGGGGGATATGTAAGAACACATCATGGAAGACACTTCCTCTTTCTTCAAGTTATGTCTTCCAGGCAATTGCACCAAGTAACCCTGTGTATGTCTACCTATTTAACATAGGTATCTCGCCCCATTTTGTCCCAGTGGAATCCAGTCTTTCTGCTTTTCTGGGTTGAGGTCATCTTTTTTGAGCATGAAAAAATGAAATTGCACATGATGTCTATAATGGCACAAATACTTCTCCAACCCTAGTAAGAATATTACCCTGCAGAATGTAAAGTTACACAACAGTTTGCTGGCTTCTGAATCTTGTGATTAACTATGCAGGTCGTCTTCATTAGCGGTTTGCTATTGAAACATTGTAAAATACAGCAATCATTCTCTACTACTTTGTGCCTAAGTACTTGTACTTGCCATGTTGAATTTGAAAACTCAAGATCATTCCTTTCTGGCTGAGCAATACCTCAGTTGCGTTGGCGATGCCTCCGAAGTTTGTGTCACCAGCAGATTTCATTAGTGTATTCCTATTCTTCTTTTAAAGATAATTAATGGAAACAGTCAATAGGTTTTGTACAAAGGCTGATATCCAAGGAAGAGCTCCAATAGTACCCTCCTGCGTATCAGCGTGTCCTCTTTTAACGCAACCTGATGCAGTTCCCCCTTTGCCAAGGTCCTTACTCACTTTTCCACTTTTTTCCTAATTCTTGTCTTTTCAAAATTTTAACTCATAGTTACCTAGTAGCATCAATTTTAGTTTGCTTGGGTCCAACAGGATTTTTCCCATTCTGCTTTTCTCTAGAAAATCTATCTTCGTAATAAACAAATCAGGTTAGTTTTAAATAAGATACCACTGGTAAATTGAATTGTCTTTTCTTTCCAAGTGTATTCTGAGTCTGTGCAGATTGCCAAAACAGATAAGCTGTTTTCACTAATTTTAATTTCTGTACAGTCCTTCCTGGAGATGTCTTGCTTTGTCAGCTATATTGTGAATCTTTAAAAGTCACCTCATGTGAAACATTTCTTTAGTTTTGAGGTGTCTTCTATATGCCTCATGTTTTTTCTCATTTTCTTTTCATTTCTATGGCTGAAACGTTTTTGTTTGCGGCCTCAATCTTCTTCAATTCCGTTGGTTTTCATCTGCAAGATTTAGCTTAGTTTGACCTGTGGCAGTTCTTACCTTCTGACCTCCAAACTGTAGCTTAGTTGGATAATTAATCTCTTTCCTTTCCTGCAGGCCATCTCCTGTTTTTTGAAGCAATTATTCATTCAGTTAGACTTGAAGCTATTTCGTGCAAGTTTTGGGGTTTTTTTTTCCTGTGCTGATGATGTAAATTCCAGATCTGTGTTCTTCATTTTTTACTTTAAGGATACGCATTGCCTATCTTTGACCATAATATTAACCTTAAAAGTTGAAGCCAGCCTTGACCTTTCTCAAATCTATTTAGATGCATGGTTGGACTCAAGAGCACAGTGGAGAAGAAAACTTAAGGCTCAAGTAAGCCCTGGTTGCTTGTATGGCACTGGCTGTATCATATGCTTTTCAGTGGTGCCTTGTGGTCTTTCCTAGAAGGGGCCCTCACAGCATGCTCTGTAAGTTGTTGAATTATAGGCACTCCAGGACCAGTGGTAGGACCTGCCAAAAATGAGTTATGGAGCACACACTGAAGTAGCCTTTTCCCAGAGCTATGCTCTATCAGGGAGAGTAATTGCAATCAAATATTCCAAATTATCTTCATACACATCCCTGAGAACATTCCCATTAGTACAGCATTTGTTCTTTAGTCTGTGTCTGGGTGGTTAGTCCTCTGTGACTCATGCTTGCAAGAGCTGTTTATATCTGTGGTAGCATCACAGTGCTCATTGTTCCTCTGCAGACCTTCCATGGAACTTCTATCTAATCTCTTCAGTAGCTGTTCCACAACAAAGGCATGTGTGATGTAAATCACTGTGTATGTTCCCCTCCTTTTCACACAACTTCAGTACAGTGTCATATTTCTTATTCCAGCTTGGCATGTCCTTCACTTATTATTTAGTCTCCGTGTATACGACTGTCCAGTGTCTGTGTCCGTGTATTATGAGCATCAATACTTTAGATTCTGTCAGTTTGTTGACCTTCATTGTTATACAGATTTCATATCGAGTCCTTTGGACAGATTTGGCATAGTCCTTTCATTCACTGAATAGCTATATGGCTTAATGTTCACCACTGTCTGTACCTTCTGGAGCCATAGCTATATCTGATATTCCCTTGTCTTCTACCTTAGACAGTTTTCTCCCATCATTTTTCCCTAGTTCCTTCATTAACAAGACTTCTTTTCAGCCATGCTGACCTCAGTTCCAATTCATCTTATAAATGAGGATCAGATACTTGGTTTTGCTTTGCTTGATGTTTAGAGCCTTTGGGAAGAAGGTCCGTGTGCAGATTGAGGTGGGTGTGTATGAAGGTATAACCAGCTGACTTAAATGTGCCTGCCCACTCCACTTGGTGTCTGACTCCGACCCTCCAAATCTATTGCCTCCCTCAGAAGGTGGGCTCTTACGGACTTTATCGTCTCATTAGATTTACAGGTGCTAATAGGGATGTGGTAGGGTTCTCTTATACCATCACCTACTTATAGCTAGGTACCTGTTGGAGAGTTTTCCTCAGTTGGGGTTTTAGTTGAAGTTCAATTGCAGGGGAAAGAAGCCAGCCCTCTGGAAATTCTGTTGGAGTGTAAATAAAAAGTCATGATTCACTTGGGCTGTCTGTTGCAGTGTGATGTGAACACTCATGGATGAAAATAAGTTGTTTTTTTTTCACCCGGGGGTATAAATAGCAGGTGTTTAGAACTCTTTCATGTACGGACATTCTTAGCATTTAGACTTGACGTTTTCAGAGTTTACTATCTTTGAATTTATTATGCCATTCTGACCAAGAACGCGCAGGAAGTGCATGTACGTCTATCTTTTTACATACACAGATATTGAGGCTTATGTTTGTTTAAGTCAGGACTCTGAAATGAACGTCTGCCTCGGTGACTAATGTGCGCAGTAACAGAAACGCGTAATAGATCACCTCAGACTGAAATGTTTCTGGCCTGAGTTTTTGACAACCAAGTTTACTTAGGGACTTTTCTGCTTTCATCCACTGGGATGAAGACTCCACCTAAAGGAGGGTGAAAGAAGTGGTTCGGTTTCCCAGGCTTGCCTTCCAAGAGTTGTCCAGACAGGTCTACCTTGTGCAGCCTGGAAGGGTTAGAGGACTTGGGTGGTATGAAGGGAGAAGCAAATATTAGTTGTCTGTCTGAGAGCAAGTGATTGACTCTGCCAGTCATACAGGGACCAGCTTATCCCTCCTTCACAAGAATAACCCTTCATTTCCTATGTTTTGAAATAGATATCAAGACGACAGCTGTCAGAAAAGGCGATGAATATGTCATAAATGGTGGGAAGATGTGGACTACGTCTGGGTGCCAAGCGGACTGGATGTGCTTGCTGGCAAACACCAGTGAAGGACCTCCCCATCGAAACAAATCTCTCATATGCCTGCCAATGAATCTACCTGGTAATAATACAGAACTCTTTCTCTTCTAATTTGATTTTATTGGTGGTTTTGTGTATGCCCAATACAAGAAGGAAAGGTGTTTGACAGAAAGGGCTGCACCCATAAATGCTCTTTTAACTTCAGTGTTTCACTGTCATGCAGAGTTGGTTCTGAAATGCATTTGCACACTTCCCCAAAAAAGCAGGGGACAAGAGGAAACAAGAAGGAAGTTAAATATTTTGCAGACTTCACCTTGTGACTCCCAAATAATTTTATACGGCGAGTCCTTTTCACAAAAGATAAATTTATAAAAGTTGGCCAGATACATTTGCATGGGAATATTTCATAATCTTCTATAGAACGAATAGACAAGTCAATGCCAAGGCCAAAATTAGTGCCTCAAAGAAATCATTAAAAATAGAGCCAACATTTTTCTGGAAATTATAACATTCAGTGTCTTTTAGTTTTGGAGAAGTTCCACAAAACTTTTATCTCATTTTTCTGTCCCCAAAAGGCATGAAGATGCAAAAAGTCCACAAAATAAGTAACATATTACTTTATTTACATAGAACTTTGCTACATATGAACTACATGTAAAATGTTCTTAAATTATCTTTCCAAAATAGCGTTAAAGTCTTTCCTGTTTTGTATGAGGACTGGTGCACAGAATCCATACTTCTTATTTCAGTGAATGGAGAAGTATTTTTAAGCTTGCTGTCTTATTTCTTCAGAAAATATTGAAACTCATTCTCAAACATCTGAAAACAAAAGGATAAAGAGTTTAGGGATTTCAAACTTGGGAAATACCTCCCAAACCAATCTTATTCCACATGGCAACATCTGCCTTCCAGGAGCTCATGGGCTGTGTCTGACTCCATTAGGCTGGGTTTACCGATTCGCTGTACTGAATACCAGAAGGATGCAATGCTATGCTCTGATTGCATTGTGTGGATGGTCCTGATCTTCCTCTGAAAATTGTCCTCCACCACCCAGCCTGGTGGGCTTGCTGAAGAGACGTGCAGGCATACCCAGGGTGCTTCACCGCTGTGCTCTGCAAAGGGATCTCTTTGCCAGGGTACTACTATCATTATCAGTTTAAATTACAAAAATAGTCTGTGAGTTAAATGTGGGCTGAAGTGAAAGCTTCAAAGATCTTGGAAGCAGGGATTTGTTTTTGAAGAAGGGATTTGGATGGAGACACTGAAGAAATACATCCCGATCTAAGGGTACAAGTTTCAGTGGTACAGCCCACATGATGTCTGTTCCTGAGTAGTCTGCAGACCTTGCAGCAATGATGTGCTGTATGCATGAAAGACATCATTCAGGGAAGATACAGTGGAAGTTATTGGTGGCGGGGACCTTTTGCAGTTTTAACACGTGTTCAAAAGTTTTTAAACCTTTTTGGTTTTCACTCATTTTTAGAAATTATGTCATATATTTAATATATAATATAAAGTATATTTTAAGACATTTAAAATATATAATATCTATTCAATATATAATAATGTATATTAATGTATTTATGAATATAAAATATTAAAACCTATAGCATTTTTGTTCATTCAATTCACAGTATTTTACATACAAAATATATGTAATTATCAGCATTTCACACATAGGGACCACCAGCATGGCAGTGAAGTAAAAGTCCATATTATGGACCACTTAATGGGTCAGACTGAGAACAAAAGCCAGGCCTCCAGTGTTGCAAAAGAGGGCGATGAAAGCTGCTTAAGGGAGTATCTTGTAAGTGAATTTCAGTACGGAGTAAGTCAAGCAAGCGAGTGAGTTGCCTTGGGAATTAAGCAAGTTCTGAGTGGGTTGTGAGTTTCTACAACCTCCGCTCATGCAAGACAGGCTTTGAACGAGAGCTCACAGAAGATGGACCTGAGCTGCTTCCCTAGTTGTTGACTTTGTCCTTACGATAAGCGATGAGCAAATCTGTAACTCGGAGCCAGCATCTCTCTGAATTTCCAGGTAAATTCACTTATCAGCCATCTGCATAAAGTCCTCCTTGTGATTTTTTTTGTGAAAGGGTCAGAGTGCAAATGCGAAACTACTTCTCTGAGATCAGTTTTCCAAAAACAACAAAGCAGCCAAAACACTGTTAGAGGCAGAGCAAATATACAGAAACTGCCTTGGAGGGGTGATCAGCTACTTTGCTTATTCCAAAAAGGCATGTGAGTCATCGTAGCTTTAGTGGGGGGATGTTATTCGGTCACACAGCCTATACACAGACCTTTACCTGATTTTGAGTAGAAAAATTGCCTGAGTCACCTGAACCTGATCTTCAGAAGTGTAGAAGTCTTACTAGAAACAAAAATTGCCCTTTCAGAGAGTATATGCTTTCATTCTTCTGTGTGATACCGCTATTGACCTCCAAAAGGGTCACTGTACCAAGACTGGTGACCTTTTGAAATGAAGTATTAAGACAGTTGATTGTGCTCAGTGGGTGGGACATATTAGAAGTGAGATTTTTTTTCAGGAGGACAAAGAGGAAAAGTGTGAAAAAGGCTCTGACATCTGACACAGATGTGAGGAGGAAGCTCCAGCTGTTTTGGTACATCCTGAGGATGTCTGCCTGCCAAAGATCGTGCTCCTTGGAGGGCAGCAGACCAAGACTGTATGGGAAATGTATGGAGGACATCATCAAATGATGCACTATCAAGCATCTGTAGATGTATGTGTGTCAAAGCTCAAGAACAAGTGCAATGGAGAACAAGAGTGTTAGGTCTGACTAAGTGCTGCAGTCACCAGCCTACATGGCAGGCTAAGAAGGGGATCCGTGGAGCAGCAGTAACCCATTCCTTGCTAGCAGCTGGAAGGACATGGGAGACTAATCCAGCATTTTTCACAAAAATCTTAATTCTTTCATACTTGTATAATGTGGTGATAAAGAAAAGGGAAAAAAAAGTACAAAGTGAATTATTAACTTCAACAACTGGTAGTTTACTGGAGATACAAAGTAGGATTTGCTGCTTCTAATTTTAGGGGTGTACAGTGTCTGTTCTGGGGTGAAGAAAATCATGGTCTAGATTTGATAGACACTGCTGAATACGTTTCTCCTAAAGGGAATTTGGATGATGGCAGTGTGGGTTCACCATAGATATCCAAATTAGGTGAATACTCCTCATACTAATGATGTCTTAAAAAAAAAAGCTGAATTTCTCATATAATGAAAGAGAATCTAACAAGTTGTAAAATGTCTGTGTGTAAGATGTATAGACGAATGGCTTGCAGCCCTAATCTGGTAACTATTTGTGTGCTGCTCTGAGTCCTCAGATAGCGCTAGGGTAGATTGCAAGGAGGAAATAATAAAGAGAGAAACATCCAGGAAAGGGAAAAGAGCATGTTTCTCAGTTTGCAATTTAAAATGTGCCTCTTTCCATTTGTAATGGCACAGGAGAGAGTAACTGGCTTTCTCTCAAGGTAGAATATAGGAAATAAAAGAGATTGCCAGAAGGCTGGAGGAGTGGGAGAAAATTAAAAAATCAAAGACGCCTGGGAAGAACTGTCCAGGAAGAGATACAGCAATCCATCTCAGTGATACCGGTGCAAGCAGCACGAACGGCTCTGTTAGAGTGATTGTAATAAGTCAGGCACTTGGCCTTGCTAAATTGAGATTTGTGTGTTATTGGATGGCTCGTGATTTATTTAATACAGACAAACTCCAGGAGTTATCTGAGCAGATGATTTCTACTGCTGCTGGTAATTTTTAATATATAGTACCCCTCGTGAAGAGAATGAAGGTAACTAAACTAAGTAAAGGAAGATTTTGGTGCCCATGTTGTAGCCAAAGAGGTGATTATGCACCATTGTCTTCAAAAAAAGTGAAAATGTAAAGCATGTGCTAGCAACAGAGGGGGAACTACCTGAGGCTGGTGCAGTTTGGCCTCCTTCTGAATGAGAAACATGAATTAATCTAAGAGCAAGTGAAACTGGTGAGGCATGACAGAGGGGGGATGCTGCTGGATTTAGGAAACTTGAACACACAACCCAATCTGAAAGAAATATGGATAGATATCATTAACACATTTAGCTCCTCTAACCAAACCTGTAAGACCTTTCTTCAGTAGTTTTTGTTGTATGTGGATCTGGGGAAGTACACAACAGGATTGATATAGCAATATAAAGATATAACAGCAATTGTACTTTTTCCAGCAGAGACCTTAGTAAACCACGCACTAACAAGAGCAGTAAGTGCATCTTCATATGGGTGAGGAGCAGTGATTGCATAAAACCATCTGGAAGTAGACCAAACGCACGATCTCTGAGAGTCTCAAAGAAACCAAGCAGTAATATTCCAATGGGAAGAGATGTTCCAGAAATCACTTGGGCCTGTAAATGGTTCAGTGTGTGTTTGTTTAGTTCTGATTTTAATGCAGAAACAAACCACACATGCTTTTTTGGCATGACTGGGTGCAAATTGCTGGATAATTTTCAATCCAAGAGTCAAAAAATTCTATACAGCTGTCCTGATCTTCTTCCTGTGTTCAACACATATCAAAGCAGGAATTTCTAACACATAATCTGTTTATAGATTGGCTGGTGGAAAAAAATCTTGAGTGGAATGTGTGAAAGTCTATGTGGACCTTAGTCTGAGAGCAGTGTTGGCATTTGGGAATAGTGTCAATATTTCATCTCTGCAGAGAGATGAAACTTTCCGTAACTTTATTCACTGCAGCGAAGGGAATGACAGCAACCTCTTCTGCCTGCTAAACCAAAGTACTTTTCACATGGCTGAAGGCCTCCTGTCAGTAGAACTTGATATGTCTATATTGGTTCAGAAAGAGATGTTTGCTGAAAGCCATGAACGATAGCAAGGTTCAAACCAGTATAAAGAGGTACCATAGCAATCTGCGTGGTGACCAACTCCTATTAAGCCATGTTAAAGAGTAGTAGAGGATTGAAAAAGAAATGGAATAAAGAGGAAAATATTACCAGGATACCTCCTCATCACAGAACTGGTTAGAATACCATGTATGTGGGTAGGAAAATGTTTGGTTTTCTGCAATGATGTATATGCTGATTTGGAGGACTGTTTTTCTATGTATATTGAGTTGGCAGATGTAATCAGCATGTTTTGCACAAACCCTCATGTCTGGTTGTTGGCCTCAGTTTACCTCTGAAACATACTTGACTTCCATCCCAAATATCCGCATTAGCCCCAGAGCAGCAAGGTTAAAAACTGAAGACAGGGGAATCGCCACAAAAAAAAAAAGAATCAGTGGATGCCTGTTAAACTCTCATAGCACATATTTGCATCTGCACAATTGCGGGAAAGAACTTGTAGCTAAGAAAAAACAAACCGACGGGAAGGAGTCCTACCTGGTGTGACCGAGTAGCTGCAGTCTGCCGTGGCCAAACCTGAGGGAATCGGGCTCATCTCCAGCAGAACATTGCGAGTGGGGTCAGAGTCAGTGATGTGCAGGGTGGCTGCGGGGAAGCAAACCCTCTTCACAAGCGTGTCCTTGTTCAGAGGAACGATCAGCGATCATTATGAACCCTTCCATGACTAATTAGATGAACTAAACAGTATTTTGTAGGCCATCATGAAATACGTCATTTTAACAAAATTCGGAGTTGATAGGGAATTGTTGGGTGTTGCTAGCAGTTATGAGTTTAACTTTTTATTATTAGGGAATAGCAGCGTGGTGTGATTATAAACTCTCTTTTCCACAGGTACCAGAAAAAATCAGGATAGGCTAGAAAGGGGGGGGATAACTGTGGAAGAGAGGCAAGGAAGAGGATTTCTAGGAGGAGAAATTCTCTAGGTGCAACTTAAACCATCGCTCTGGTTTTGTCATTATTAAATATTTCTCTCCCGTTTCACAGCAGTGCAGGCACTCGGCAAATACTGCTAAATTGAATTCCAGCATTTTAATATAGTGCACTAAAAATCAAACATAAGCAAATATTGCATTGGTTCAAGACATGCATGAAGCAAAGTTATTACTACTAGTGAACTAGTGAAATGAAAAGTAGAGCCTTTGCAATTGCAGATTCTGATTTGCTAGTTAAGTAAAATGGAAAAACTCTTAAAAATAGGATGTGGCCCCCATTTTACTCTTAAATTCCAGAATGTTTTTTCCTAAAGATTGGTTTCACTGCAGTCTTGGCACACGCCTTCACATCTGCAAACTTTGTTTTCTTAAAATGCTGTACTTGTACATAGTGATTCTATTTTTTGTGGCCTTTCTAACATCCCTTTTTCTTTAGGCATTCACATTGCTAAAAAGATAGACAAACTGGGCATGAGGTCATCAGACACAGCTCAGATCTTTTTTGAAGATGTAAGGGTCCCCAGCAAAAACCTCATCGGCGAGGAAGGAAAGGGTTTTACATATCAGATGTTGCAATTCCAAGAAGAGCGGCTGGGGGGGGGAGCCACTGGTAAGTCATCGTTTGTGCTTCTGGGGCCGGGCAGGGACAGAGGGGTCACCGTCCACATGAGTAACAGCACTTTCCTTTTATTGTAAATTGCAATGACCTCTTACGATCTGTTCTTGACATCTGTCATAGCCTGGATACAGACAACCTTCCCTTTCTGTAGGAACATTTGAAATAGAAAATATTTTGTGAGGCATTGCAGAGGCTGGTTTTGCCTTGTTTCTTTTTCTTGGTGCTTTTCCGCTGATAAGAAACTATGGCATCATGTTATGTCTGCTACAAATACAGTGCAAAGGCTATCAAAATACTGGCACAAAATAGAAGGACCGTGACTTTTCCTGTGGTGCAGTAAACTATGATGTTTATCCTGGGTTTTAGAAAATTAACTTGGTGGCTGTGTAAAGAAGTGGCTCTTGCAGGAGGTAAGAGCTTTGTTTTGCGGATCTGTTTTTACCTCTGTACACTTTGGGTGTAAGTGGTACAGCACCAAATTCCTTTCCCTGAAGTTATGCTGTTCCCATTAGTCTGAACCCAGGCCATGCTTAAATCTGCATATTTGAGTTATATGGATTCTGGATATTCCAGGTAACCAGATCTGAGTCTGGATTGTCCGTTTTCAGCCTCCCAACCTTCCCCCCCACCCCACAGTTTGCTTCTTCAACTTAAATATAACGTGGTTCACTGTAAGAAGGTTGGTCCTCTTTAAATTTCAGGGTTGTATAAATAATCTTACCGTATTCGTGCTCCTGTGCCTACCCTGCCTGTTACTGGCTGTGTGTGGCTGGGGAAGCGGGAACTCTTAAGAGATTTTCTGGTTCAGTGACCAAATAAAAAATCCCTCCCTCTTGTGAGTTGATCCCAGACCAAATATTTTAGAGTTCAAATGCTTTAAAAAATCTTTGGTTTGGGCCAAAATTCTTAGTTCAGCCTGAGATAAACAGCAAACATGAGAGTAGTTTTAGCGAAGAACCGGAGGTTAGGCTTGCAAGGGGCGCCGCTGCAGACTCGGGCAAGGAGGAGACATGGTCCTACTGCTGGTCCTGCTTTAATCGAGGCATACACAGACTGCAAGGGCATGCATTGTGCATTTTTTGCGCTTGAAGTCTAAGTTAAACGAAACAATCAGAAACTATGTGTTGCAGTGATGCTCCCCAGGCAGCAGAGTAGCCCACAGAGTTAGTCATGCCCCAGGCAAAAGTGACGCGCACTGACAGCATCAAAACACAAAGCCTGGCAGGTTAGATCACTCCTGTTAAAACCACTGGAAGCTTGGTACTGTCCAGGCTTGCACAACTGCCTGGCGGTCACCATGCTCTGCCAGGAAATGGGACACCAGGTTTCAATTCTTCTTTTTGCCCAGAACAGCACAGCAGGAGCAGGCGAACCCTCACCCTGGATGAGCAGTCTGGGAAGGGCATCTTCACTCCCCTGGCCATGGCCAGGCAGGGGCCATCAGGGAGGAAGAGCCTTGGAGCTCACCAAGGGAGAGGGAGCTGCCTCCTGCAGCAGGGTGGCCAGTGAGTTACACCTCGATGGGCCCCCTGCTTCTACTTTTATCCACTATCTGATATAAAAAGCATGAAAGCACTGGGAGCAGGGACAAGACCCATGGTTTGGGCCAAGTTGCAAACTTCAGAGGTAACCGGTTGTGGTAAACAAGAAAAAAAGAGTAGCTGATGTTCAGAAGGAAAACGGGTGCTTGGTGGATGTGGTTTCTTACACCATGACATCTAGCTCTTAACTTCCACTCCTGCAAGTGATTTTACATATATTCAACGACAAGTGTTTGCAGAAGGCTCAGGTGTGCAAAACTATGTACGTGCCTTCAATGGTTTTGTGTCCAGGTCTGCATGTGAAATCCCAGTCCGCACCTCTGGCCCTCAGCAGGGAGTTTCTGCTCCTTCCCAGTTCATGACTATTCATGTGACATTGAACATCATCAGTCTGCTTTCAAACACTTCAGGGCCCAGTTCTGGCATCCTCACCTTCACTGCTTCCTAAAACTTGGACGAGGCAGTTGACTGCCATTCTTTTCTTTCTTTCCTTTTTGGCATTGTTTTGTTTTGTTGTGTTTGGGGGGTTTTGCTTTGTTTTTTGTTTTTATGTATTTTTGGTATGAAGTATCATGTGCTCCAGCCTTCTCCTTGCTTATTAATTATCTTCTTTGTGGGCAGATTTCAGAACGTGCGGGGAGTTTCCTTCCTTCTTCACTTTTTTTTTTTTCCTTTTAAAATGAATTTTCAGTAAAACAGGTTTAAAATATAAATGGAAAACTTATTTCCTGGAATTGCAAAATTTGGTCACAGGTGTGGTCTTTTCTTCTGAGTGACACATTATCAAAGGTATTGGTAAAAGCCGCTGTGTTTCTTGCTTCATTGAAAGAGAAGAGCTGCCACGTATCTCTCCCATGTTGTGACAGTTGGTAAACGCCGTCCATTTGTGGACCTGTTGCACTGATCACAGGAAAAGAATGTTGCTATGGCAAGAAAGCAAACAGGTTTTTTTGTGAATTGCTTAACTTGGAAGCAAAGAGGGAGTTCAGCGTGTGTGAGAGAGCAGAATGGCACTTTTCTAATGACTTCTATCTGCTCCTGTAGTCTCAGTTTTATGAGCACCATTGAGTCATGGCCAGTAAGCAGGATGACAGATCCTTTTGCATGGGCAATGCACGTCCTTAAGAGTCAGATTGCTCAGCGTGGAGCTCACTGTACATCTCGCCAGAGAGTGATCAGCCACAGCCTAAGAAAAACATATTAATTTCCTTTTCTTTTGAGAGGAGATGTAGCAAAGGAAAGTGTGTTTACAGTGAGCAGAAGTTTCAAGTGGAAAAAATAAAAGTTGGATGGAGGTACAAGGAAAAGATTATTCTGCATCTGGCGACTTCAAGTGCTTTCACAATTCCCAGCTCTGTGGTAGACGATGGGTTCCTTAGGCTGCCCTAGAGTGACATTTCCTGCGTGTGCTGTCAGTTGAAATCCATGGGGCCAAGTTTGTCTGAGGATGTGGAGGACGCTGTATAACAAAAGAGGAAACAAATATCCGGGGGAAAAAAAAAGTTCAGAGAGAAAATGAGTTTCACTGTTAAGAATGGCATTTCTCTGCACTTAAATGACTGGCAAAGTATCATGTGCTGTTCTGTTGTACAAGGCTGTTGGCAGTCAATGGTATTCATGATGTGCTGCGTTTCGTGGCTGTTTGCTGCACAACGAAGTTTTGCCGTGTTAGAGCTATGCTCGTAGCTCTAAATACCTGTAGTCATAGCATCACAGAATGGTTTGGGTTGGAAGGGACCTTTCGAGATTGTTGCGTCCAATCCCCCTGCCATGGGCAGGGGCAGGCT